TAAACCCTAAACCCTAAAACCTCTAGACTGTTTGGGCTTCCTCAAAAACAAAACTCACAAATACCGGCCTCGGGTCCACACGATTTGACCGTCCTTCCTCGCCAGCTGCGGGGGGTGGGGGGGGGGGGNNGGGGGGGGGTTTTAGGGTTTAGGGGGTGGGTCATATAAGACATAGCATTATAGCTTAAATACAGCTAAGTACATAACTTCAAACATATAGCATCTAATAACATGCATCGCATGACACACATATACATAAGACAGAAAGGCGGAAAGATGCATGCAAGGCAATATGAAGGCTATAGATGGACAACATGTGTAGTCTGTGTAGTATCAAGTGTTAAGTAGTGTAGAATAATAGCCTTTTTAGAGGTGTTGGGCTATTATTCTACCTACTGTTGGGGGCTTAGGTAGAGTTTAGGGTGGTTGGCTTGAGGGTTTCGAGTGTTGAGGTCTGCGATGGGTCTAGTGGGTCAGGTAAGCGACATCAAGCAGAGATGACGTCGCCATGGGCAGAACACCGAAACCTGGCCCAAAGGACCTAGCCCTGAAATTCAGGAGTTCGGAAGAAGATGACAGCAGACCCGACTGCTTACGCCTTCTACCCACAACCTGAGACCCTAGTACTGATCTCAAAGTCGAAACTCATCGACTCATCTACCATCCCCAGACCCTAAACTCCTTAACCTCTAGACCGTCCTCACGCCGAGGTCGTTGGCTTCCCCCTGCAGCTGGCCCTCGTGTCAAGGCTTGGCTCTTCGAGTTCTGTGTCAAGGGTCGGCCGGGGTAGAGCTTCCTGCGTTTTGGGGGTTTTAGGGTGTGCGGTTTGGAGTTTCGGGTCTGGTTTAGAACGGCTGCGAAGAAAACCAGCCACAACATCAATCTGTAGATGGTGTACAGCGCAGCTGTGGAGCCCGGGTCGCAGTGCCTCGGAAGCCTGCATTACATGGGCTCCCCTTGCAGCCCGGAAGTGGCATCATTGGGCCCGAGGACTCCGGGAATCTGCTAGGGACTCGGGGAACTCTTGGATTTGTTGGGCTTCGGGTTGCGGGGAATGGCTGCGAAGTCGGGCAAAAACGAGCCGGTCCTTCAGCATCCGGATCTCCCTCTTCGCCGCCTTGCGTCTTAGCACGGGTATCTTTTCGCTATCATGACGGTTGTTAGCACTTCTCCTTGACACTGTTTATCTTCATGAATGAAAGAAGTCTCGTCGTAGTCGCATCATGCACGATATCATGACAACATCAGCAATAGGATTTCAGCATGGCATTTCACATTATCTTATCATCGGATGACTGACCACGGCATCACCAGCCATAGCATCAACATCTTCACCACGCTGTGGCATGATGACATCATGGACATCATGTCAGCACCCTGCCGACATCTAACCACTATGCATGGTATCATTGCACTACCCTCGTCAGGATCGTCTTCACTGTCAGCATCACCGTCATCTGTAAAGCGAGCTCTGCTTCGAAAAGACAGGAGCGAGGCATCACAGATGATGTGCGCGTGATCCCAGGCTCATCCCTGCTGCAATCCTTCGCGCCCGACCCGTCGTCGCTCGCCCGAACATGGCTTCTGGTATCTGTTGCAAATCATGTTTGCGCAGCCTTTGCTGCGCAAAGGCCCATTATACCGGCCCCAAAACAATCCCCTAAGCAACTGGCCTCCGACACGGTGGCAGTCACGAAGACCCACTGAAGGTCCGCCGGCAGCCTCGTCAGCCGTAAAAAAGCCCGAAACACGGGCCGAACACACGGGGGTTCGTAAGTATGTTCAGCTCTTGGCTTTCCGAAACCCTCTACTGTATAGGGGCCTCAATAATTACCTATCATTTGGGGAGCTCCTTGTTATGAATAAATATAGTATAGTATAAAGGGCCCCAAAACCCTAATCTAATGATTAAGGCCCCTAGATGACCACTCCGTGTCTCTAGGCCCCAACTCCGCTTTCAGGTCGAACATCGGGTTCGGCGAGTCCTCCCCAACAAGCGTGTCCACCTGCGGCTTCGGGGGTATTGTCAGACAGGTTGGTTGGGTATGCGGATGTCTTGGAGACTTTGGAGTTCGGGTTTGGGGCGAAGCTGCATTTCAGCACTTGCGGTTGCAGCACAGTCTCATGCCAGTTGATGAGCCTTTGAGATGGAGGGTCCAAGTCAGAGCCTCGTCGTCGGCATCGTTATCATTATCACCACCATCACCATCATCGAGTTCATCATCATCCTGGCCTCGACAAGATCACTGTCCTCCTGATGATCCTGATGACGATGACGATGATGATGGTGATGGTGGTGATAACGATGAAGCTGACATTGCTGCTCATAATAATGATGGTGATGATTATGATGATGTTGATGATGTTGATGCTGATGCTGATGCTGATGCTGATGCTGATGCTGATGCTATGATGATAATGATAATGATGATAATGATGTTAATGATGATGATGATGATGATGATCATGATGATGATAAAGATAATGATATTGATACTGACGATGGTGACGATGATGACGATGATGATGGGGATGAAGATGATGATGATGATGATGATGATGATGATGATGATGCTGAGAGGCATCGTCGACATCATTAATCTCATGCGTGCTTCATCTGCATCCTCATCATTTTCATCGTCTGGACAAACGTCATGTGTCGAAGGTAAGCCTTGAAGTCGTGAACCGCAACCTCGACATGTGGCCTTCACCCGCAGAATGTAGCTGTCTGGAACGATGTCACAAGCCCTCCACATGCCCAATTCCCTGTTTCCAAGTTGCCAGGATCACGCATGCATGCATGTCTGCACGTGTATGTATGTGTCTGTAACCACTGCATGTGTATGTAGCTGTTGGTACGTATGTATGTATGTATGTATGTACGTATGTATGTATGTATGTATGTATGAATCCGTGCCTCGTCGATGACCAGGGCTTTTACATGTTGCCAGGTATCTTTCTGCACGACGCAGTCCTGAGGCTTGAGGTTTTGGGGTTTGGGGGTTTTGGGGGTTTGGGGTTTGGAACCCTAAACCCTAAACCCTAAACCCTGGGTCTGGGGGTTCTGGTTCTGGGCTTGCGGTTCCGAGCTGCATCTGCGAAGCTCGAGGCTCGGAGGATGGCGCGTAGTGATCTACGGGCCCTCTAGATTCTAGATGTAATGTCGGGGCCTTAATAATTAGAATAGGGGTTTTGGGGGCCATTATACTATAAGTATAGTAGGGAACCCCTAGAATAGTATTGGTAATTATTTAGGCCCCTGGATGTAGCAAATCAGTTGCTCCTCGACACAAGTTGCACAGCCTCGAAGCAATCTGATCGTTTTGGCTGTGCAAGGGTCGCAGTGTCTGGTAGGACCCTAAACCCTAAACCCTAAACCGTGACTGAGGGTTTACGGTTGATTTGCGACTCCGGGAGGTTGGGGGGTGGCTTGAAACCTTGCGGAAGCCCTAAAGGCCAAGGAGCCTTCGAGACGCCTAGAGCAGCAGGGAGTCGTGATCTGCAGAAAGGAACCCTTCACTTCCTCTAAGAGTGTATCCTAGCATCATCGTGCATGGACGACTCCTCCCCGCCTCCTCCATGAAGAACTTGAGTCGACCAGGAGTGGCCTTGTGGTCTTTCCATGTCGGATGGGGAGCAGAAGCTTTTCCAGTGCATGTGGGGGCTTAGGGTTTAGGGTTTAGGGATTTCGGGGTTAAGGGGTTTCGAATTGTTCAGCCTGAGCGCCTATAGGTTCAGGGAAGAAGTTGAGGCGTGCGAGTTCTGCTGAGATGATACTATACGCCGACATCTTAAACTAACAGGAAGGACTGTTGTGAGGTGGAGTTTTCGACGTGTTCAAGCATCCACCACAATTTTGACTCCACCTCACAACAGTCCCCTCTCTATCCTCCAGATATAATGATTAAACCTTGACAACTAAGCCCAAAGCAACCCTAACCCTGACCGCTGAGCCAGCTGCACCATAAAGCCTAAAAGCCACTGCAAAACCTCTTCAACTAGGGCCCATGCCACAACGACCTCAGAGCCCTGTTGCAGCCGCCACCGCTGCTGCCTTTCTTCGACACATTTTGACAGATGGCGCAAACACTATCACAAGCGAGACCATGCACTAGCTGTAAGTAAGTGAGCAGCAGCAGCAGCAGCAGCATCATGAAGATAAGCACCAGCCCTATGCCACCCAAACCACGACATCATTATTTTTGCACGTTTTATCTTCTGCTTGTTCATAAGCCATAAACCCACATCATACCATGTCCTCATACCTCCACCCGCCAATGATTGCCTTCAAAACCCTATCCTGATGCTGGCCTGATTCACATCCTCATCTTCATCGGCAACGACAACCTCGCATTCGTCATCGGCCCCATCGTCCTAACCGTCATAACCATCACCACCACCCCGTCATCATCGTCATCGCCGTGGCCAACAGCAACTTCAACAAAACAAGGCAAGATACCATAACATCTGATGCTCTTTGATACGAAGAGGTGTGACACTCGATCACCCAACTCTCGACCCCCGGAAATTCCGACAGAGGAGACGTCCGAGCCGCTTCGCATTCGCTCCACCACCTCCGACCACTGCGGTCCTGGGACAGACCACGGATGGGGACTGCTACTACTGCTATATATATATATATATAT